ATTTTGAGAAGCAATTATTTCTCTTCCTTTGCCATCATTTTAGTCTTTCTTCCTGGAAAGAATTGAGCATATTAATATAAATTTGCAAGTTTCCAGTTCGTAATTCCCCTCCAGTAATGTGCTATTGACAGGCAGGAGGTTTCTCGAAGTTGAGCTCTGAATCTTTCTCTTGGGCTGACTATAACATCCTTTGTTAGAATAAACATTGTGTTCGCCCAGTTGAAAATGCTCTTAACTTGGCAATATGTAACAAAGGCTTTATGTGTGCACACACCTGAGCCAGAAACTTCAGCCCCTGAATGCTCCTCCTGCAGACAAGGCCTCCCAGATAAGAGTTAGACTCTAGAGTTTAGCAAGCCCTGCCCTCAGTGACATTCTGTCCACATGGATTGTGAGTGCTGGGATCCTTGCAGTCATTTCTGCCATTTTATTTTATACTTTCTACATTTCTATAGTTTTACTTTTACTTCTTGTCTTTCTTTTGACTAACTCTTTTCTTTGCTTTTCCACTGTATTTTTCCTTGTTTAGAAGTAAATTGCTTTCTCTTTTATTTTATTGATTACCTTAGAATGTACACATACATTAATGTAAAAAACTCTAATGACCCTCTGCCTGAATCATGCCAGCACGTTAGAATCATCCAATTCTCACACTTCTGTACTATTCTTGTCCAGCATCTAGTTCGACTTTGATTTTTTCTTTCTCTTTTTTTTTTTTTTTTTTTTTTTTTGAGACAAAGTCTCACTCCATTAGCCAGGCTGGAGTGTACTGGCACCATCTCGGCTCACGGCAATCTCCACCTTCCAGGTTCAAGCGATTCTCTGGCCTCAGTCTCTCGAGTAGCATGTGCACCACGCCCAGCTAATTTTTGTATTTTTAGTAGAGACGGGTTTTGTGATGTTGACCAGGCTGATCTCGAACTCCTGACCTCAGGTGATCCACCCACCTTGGCCTCCCAAAGTGCTGGGATTACAGGCGTGAGCCACCACACCCAGCCTACTTGCATTTTTTCTTTTTTAAAACCAGCAAATTAAGCATCATTTATAGTTTTATACAATGAGTATTTCCTGTGACTTACCAAACATTACCCATTTTCTCTTCTCACGTTTCCTCTTGCAACTCCTGGCTCCTTCTGGACTTTTCCTAATTCCATGTTTCTTTTTTTTTCTTTCTTTTTTTTTTTTTTTTTGAGACGGAGTCTCGTTCTGTCACCTAGGCTGGAGTGCAGTGGCACGATCTTGGCTCACTGCAACCTCCGCCTCCTGGGTTCAAGCAATTCTCCTGCCTCAGCCTCCTGAGTAGCTGGGACTACAGGCGCCCACCACCATGCCCAGCTAATTTTTGTATTTTTAGTAGAGATGGCATTTCACCATGTTGGTCAGGATGGTCTCAAACTCCTGACCTCGTGATCTGCCTGCCTCAGCCTCCCAAATCCATGTTTCTTTAGTGAACTTCTGTTGATGGGAAATGCTGTTTTTTATGACTGTGTTTTTATTTATACTCATTCCTAAAAATTAATTTTGCTTGGATAGAATTCTAAGTGGGCTGGTATTTTCTGTCAGTGCTTTGAAGATACCATCACTGTCTGCCAGCACCCATGCATTAAGAAATCAGCTGGGGAAATAATTGTAACTTCTTTGTAGATTTTTTTTTTTTTTTTTTTGCCATTCTCTCCAAACATTGTTTCTCTCTCATGCTCTTTGTTATCTCCTTCTAGAACTCTAATTAGAAAAACACTGGACCTTCTCACCTTATTCCCCCATCTCTTAATCTCCTTTTCATATTTTTTACTTCTTGGCATTTTATGTAATTTCTTCAGCTCCATCTTTCAGTTCACAAATTCTCTCTTCATTTGTATCTAATTTGCTATGTAACTCATCAACTGAGTTTCTAATTTTAATTATTAGTGTTTCCTGTCCAGAAAAATGGACAAAACAAAGAAATTTGTTTCTTTTTCACATCTTCCTAGTTAATTGTGACAGTCTCTTATTCCATTATCATGACCTTTATCTATTTAAACATAACAAACATATTTAGTTTATACTCAGTTGGGTTTTTTTGAGACAAAGTCCCACTCCATCACTGGGGCTGGAATGCAGTGACAAAATCTCAGCTCACTGCAACCTCTGCCTCTCAGGTTCTTCTCTGGCCTCAGCCTCCCAAGTAGCTGGGACTACAGGTGCACGCCACCACGCTTGGCTAATCGTTGTGTTTTTAGCAGATACAAGGTTTCACCATGTTGGCCAGGCTGGTCTCGAACCCCCAGCCTCAAGTGATCCACCTGCCTCAGCCTCCCAAACTGCTGGGATTACAGGTGTGAGCCACTACACCTGACCAGTACTCTGTCTCTGGCCATTCCAATATCTACAACCTTTGCTGGTTAGATTCTGCAGTTTCTGTAATTCTGTGACTTTCACTCATGTAGCTAGTTTTCTCCTGTATTAGGTGACTTTTTAACTTTTTTATTGTGATCCCAGATTTCTTAGAATTTTATTTGTGTAATTTCTTTGAGGTTTGGCTTTTTTACATGCTGTGCTCCACAAAAGATATTTTTGCTTCCGCTTGGTTCCAGGATATACTGCCAATCTGGTAATATTTCAAATTAATTTTTGGCTTGAGATTTTTTAAAGCTAATCAGATAGGATGAATTCTTTTCACCAACCCTCGTGTCCAAGGCCTGATGATTAGGAATGTTCAGAAAAATGTTTTCCAAACCTGCCGCCATCACAGAACCCAGCCTGAGTGGTCTCAGCATGTATCTATCAATTCTTTCTTCTGGGCAGGCTTTCACCCTGGCTTCCTCCACTAAGAACGTCACCCTCAGGAGTCCAGGTCCTCTGTGTGTAGTAAAACTGGATTCTACCTCCTACCCTGCTTCAGCTGGAGGCTTTGTCTCCTGCCTGTGCCCTTAAGGCCTGGGAAGACCCGGATGATGGGCACCCGGGACTAAGAAGAGAGCCCCACAGCAAATGCCAGGCTCCTTCCTCCCAAACCAGGAGGATTTACTATCTTTAAGGATTTCCTTTACCTTCCCACCCTATCAGCCACATGTTTATAAAAGATTTTTTTCCATATTTGATCCAGCATTTTTAGGTGTGTGGACCTGGGAGAAATTGCCCTTCGCATGCAGAATGCCATGTTTTGCTAAAAAAAAAAAATGGCATTTTGAAATTATTTTCTAATAAGTAAAATTCTATTTTTCTCCAATTTGTATGACTTGCCAACTTGCCACCAGCAAGCAGTTGTAAACCACTGCTACAGAGCTACAGACTCCTAGACCTGAAAAAGAATAGCATGGAACATGAGGCGGGGTGGCACTGGGGTGCACGTCGGTGGGGGGGATGGGTGTCTGCTACGTGTCACTGACAGTTAGGACCACACGTGACTCTGGTGACTGGAAGATGCATTGTGAAGACACATACCTAGTTACCAAGTTGTGAAATGGCCCTCACTAACCACAGCGCCCTCACTGGGCCTCTGCCGTGAGTGGATCTTAGCAAAGGAAGCACTCATTCACCTACCGTTGCCTTCTAGCAGCTGACTCCACGTTATTCTAACAAAGTATTCACAAATCACGTGACACCCTGGCCGTTATCAAAGCATGTTTCCTTTGTGCTTATGATGGCTCAGTAACAGAAATGAAATTGGCTTCACCCAGGGACCAGCCCTAGGCAAAGCTTGTCTGTGGTGCCCCCACCACTGTCAGGGATGCACCCACATGCCCTTCCCATTTCACAGGGTCCTATTCTGGATGACTGAAAGTTTAGTGCCTTCCTGGGCTGTGTCATTCATTCATTCCCTTGGCTAAAATGTACTAAGCACCTGCTGTGTACCAGATGCTATGCCAGAAATGAGATGTGAGGATTTCTGAAGCATGATCTTGGCCCTGGAAGAATTCACTTTCCACGGAAATAACAGAAACATGAGCACTAATTCCTAAAGAAACTATTAAATGCAGCACAGTTATTCTCATCATGATACTTCATCCACAAAGATTCAAAAACTTTAACATTTCAAAAAGGTTTGGAATTCGAAAGTGAAATGACAAAGTTTGGATTCATGTTTTTGGTGATGCTTCATCTTATCTGGGGATAATCCCCAAATGACTGGTCCTTAAGGTCACAGATGCCAACCACAGCCAGCCCAGGACCTCTTGCTTCCACTCCCACCAGAAAACCTCCTTATACATGATGGTGTAGGCACCACCCAGCTCTCGGTGACATGAAAAAGGTCAGCAAACGTATTTAAAAGCTTGCCACACTGAAGTCCTCCATACCCCCAATGCACAAGGCATTTCATCGAAGAGATGAGGACTGTGAGAGAGCTTGGGGAATGTTTCCAGAGTCGCCCCTCTGGGTGGAGCTGGGATTTGAACCAGACAGCCGGCTCCAGAGCCACAATCTTCACTCACAGCTCCTACTGCCCTCTCTGGCACATCAACTTCATTTCCTGTTCTTGCTCCTGTCCCATCTGTGACAACATTTGGAGTTCCCCATTTGCCAGGTGCAAGGAAGGATAACAAGATGTAGAGCAAAGTTTAAAAGCAAAGAATCCAGAGTCACACAGATGCTCCCACTTACCAGCTTTGGGCCATGTTTTCACCCGTCTAATCCTCGATGTGAAATAAAAACTAGACACTCACTTCACATCTGATGAAGTGTCTGATGAGAAGTGTATTTGAGCATTGATCGCCTTGCCTGCATATTAAGCACCTGATAGGTGTTATTTATTACAATTATGCAAAACAACAGAATAGAGGAGCTCACACTACAAAACCGAACAATCTCTTCCCCGCTCCAACGCATACGCCACATGCCAAGACAGCATCCCCATCTGCCCAGTAACTGTCTGGCATTTGTCAAGTGCGTTGATATTTAGGCTTCTTGCCCGAAGGCACTCCTGTCTTCAAGAATTTCCTGTACCAGCGTACAGGGAACCTAAACCCCGATCCCAGTAAAAGAAAGCTGAGATTAAATGCCTTTCCTCTTTGCTTACCCAGGCCTACAGAGTTGATGAAAGAGCCGCAGAGCAGGCTCGTTGGGAAGAAGCCTCCAAAGAAACCATCAAGAAAACCACCAAGCCCTGTCCCCGCTGCCATGTACCAGTGGAAAAAAATGGTGAGTCGGTGCTGAGCAGAGAATGAGGATGTCGTGGGCTCTGTGGGGAGAATCATGCCAGTCAGGGATCCCAGGATTAAATGAGATGCTGTCTGAAGGTGCCTGGTGTGTTGGGTAACCCCTTGAGAAATGTTACCCATTATCATTATTATTATTGTTTTTGCTACACAGAAATATTTAATGAGTGAGTAGTTCCATGGCTATGTGAGGCACATAGTTAGCATTTATGTGGTTGGAAAGGGAATAAATATAGAAACTAGAACCAAGATATGGAAGGTGGTTGAGGATAAGTGGCAGTCAGGAGGCAACTGTGGTTTCTCCATCCTCCCTGGTGACCTTCCCCAGCACTGAGGCTGCACCATATGACCCTGTTGTCTGCCAGCCGTCAGTCTGTAGCCTTCCCCAGCTTTGCAACATTATTCAAAATTAAACTCTCATCTATATTTAAAGATCCCTGTGGCCTGCCCCTGATGACTCAGTACCAATGGGGGACTTCCTGCTGTCTATCCTGGACATGCCACTCAGAGCAAAGCCATCACAAGCAGTGGTCAGAGAGCCCGTTCTCAATGCGATGCACTTGTACATGTGCAAAAGCCAGAGTCAGCAGCACCGTCACAGATGAGCGATGACATGAAGCCAGCTGCAGCCTCTCCCAGCTTCTCCTCAATGAGCATCAGCGATGCCCTGGCTGGCAGGTTGCCCAGAGCTGACTTGCGGGAGGGAAGCCCAGCCATCCTAGGATGGGCACTCAAACCTCTCTCTTTTCAGTTGTGCCCTTCGGGAAGTCTTCATTAATGCAAACAAGAGTGTGCTTGAACACATCCCAGAGCCGCAGGTGCTGGCTTAGCTCAGTCCAAATCCTTAGTGCTGGATCAGTGGCTTCCTGCAGAGAAAATAAAGAATTTACCCAGCATGTCCTTATTATTCCATTGCATGCAGCAATGCTCCTAGAAAATGCAGGGATTGGCAGGCACCTATAAAGAGCGGAAGGCATCGATGGGATAGAAGGAAAGAGCTTCTCTAGTCTCCACCACCACTCACTGGTTAGCAGGCTGCACTGGGAAATGGGAGGGAAAGAACATGGAAGGGCCCTTCCCAGGAGAAGATGTATGATGGTTTAGGATCACAGGCCTGGTATTTCACTGACAAGGGTGTAAAGCACAGAGATTAGACAGTCTTGATCTGTCGCCCAGGCTGGGGTGCAATGGTGCGATCTCGGCTCATTGCAACCTCCACCTCCCGAGTTCAAGAGATTCTCCTGCCTCAGCTTCCCAAGTAGCTGGGACTACAGGTATACGCCAACACACCCAGCTAATTTTTGGATTTTTTAGTAGAGATGGGGTTTCACTGTATGTCGGCCAGGTTAGTCTTGAACTCCTGATCTCAGGTAATCTACCCGCCTTGGCCTCCCAAAGTGTGAGCCACCATGCCCGGCCTTAATTTTTTTTTGTTTTTGTTTTTTAATAGTAATTCTCAAGGTTGGTGAGGACATCATAAATTAGTGTAACTTTTCTGGAAACCACTTTGGCAATACATATATAAAGACTTTATATTATTTGACCCAATAATTCTACCTCTGAAAATCTATCCTAAAGAAATAATCTGAAATATATAATATACAAACACCACCCCCCCACCCCCACACACATTTTAGGAAAAGAAGTGCCAACTACAGCATTATGTATAGTACGGTAAACTCAAAATCATCTAAGTGTCTAATGGCCTCAGTATGAGAAAGATTGGTTTATTTTGTGATAAATCCATGGTAAAGCATCACACAGCCCCACATTGCAGTGTTGCAGGAGTTAGGACTCTGCCATGGACTGTGGCTGTGTGAGCACCAGTTTCCTCACTCATAAGATGGATTTCAATGGGACTTCCTCACAGGATGGGCAGGAGGAGTAACGGAGACAGTGTATCAAATGCACTGCATGAGATGTGTGCTGGTTCGTGTGGATGAAGAAGTTATGAAGGCATGGCGGAAAGGTTTACATCCATCCTAAGTGAGAAACCAGAATTTCAAAGCAAGTGGTACATGATGTCAGTTTGGAAATAAGTGTATGTATGGGAAGAAATAGAATCAGAACAAAAAGACTGGAAGCAAGATGTTACCATGTCATAGTGAGTAGCTCTAGGCATGATAGGGTCAAAGAGGACTTTATTTCTTTGTGTGCTTTTCTGTAATAAACATGTGTGTTGTATAACCTTAGAGAAACAATTAGTAAAAATCAGCCAGGTCTCTGTCTTCAGTGGAACTCCTTAAACACCTACCCATGCTCCCTCTTCTGGCAGGCATCACAGGCACGACAGGTGGAGAATTTTCCCAGCGGGTCTGGGGTCCATGCCTTAGTGGCCTCCTCGTTAGCCCAGGCTCTGGTGGTGGCAGTTTGCAAGATAAGACATGGTCAGTGAGGCTGGGCGTGGTGGCTCACACTGGTAATCCCAGCACTTTGGGAGGCCAAGGCGGGTGGATCACCTGAGGTCAGGAGTTCGAGACCAACCTGGCCAACATGGGGAAACCCTGTCTCCACTAAAAATAGAGAAGTTAGCTGGGCATGGTGGTGCATGCCTGTAGTCCCAACTACTTGGGAACCTGAGGCACGAGAATTACTTGAACCTGGGAGGCAGAATTTGCAGTGAGCTGAGATCACGCCATTGCACTCCAGCCTGAGCGACAGAGCGAGACTCTGTCTCAAAAAAAAAAAAAAAAAAAAAAAAAGGAAGTGGTCAGAGAGCCTGGACCTGTTGCTTTTTGTTTCTCTTCTCTGTGGTTGTTTGGTTCAGCACTTACTATCAGCTTGTGGGGACACCTGAGACACTTCGCCTTTGTGACACATAACACACAGCCCAGTCTTGTGGCCTTAAATACTATCCCTGTACTGATGGCTCCCAAATCTACACCCCACCCTCATCTCATCCCCGGGTCTGACTCAAATAGCCAGCTGCTTCCTTAGTGTCTCCACTGATTGTTCAATGGACAGCTCAAATTTTACAAAGCAGAGCGCTAGCTGCTCCTAGAAAACCTTTTCCTCTAGAGCGCACCCCACCTCAGTCAACAGCACCACCCAGTTCCTCAAGCCACTAAGCTAAAGCTCATCCTTCATTCTACCCATTTCCTTACGCCCCGGTCACCACGGCCTTCCCCGTGCTCTGATCCAGCATCTGCCCAGCTCTGACTCCACATCCCCAGCCAGTGCCCTGCTTGCCCGCCTCCTCTTCCAAGTACCGCCTCCCAAAGGGGCTCTTGCCTCCACTCTCGCATATTTACGATCCATCCTCTACATAGACGCGTAGACTTCTCAAAGGCCAGGTGAGTCCTGCCCTTCTCCCCGTGGGTCCCCGCTGACATTGCAACCACACGGGTCCCACTCCCACTCCCTCAGTCCTCCCCAGGACGCTTCTGTGTCGTCATTGCGCATGGCTGGCTCCTTCCTGTCTTTCAGATCTCAGCCCAGCTGACCTCTTTTCAGTGAGATCGCCCCTTACCACCCTGCCAAAGACCCCTGCCCTCCTGTGGGGGGCGCTGTCAGCACCATCCGACCTCTGGAGGGGGAAGCACTGCCATTTCCTCTGCAGGGGGCCTGCCTGCGGATGGCCTTGAGCTCTCTGGGCAATCACCTCTGCCAAAAGAATTAGTTCTGGCTCCCTCCCCTTCCCCAGAGAGCTCGTGTCCCATGACTGCTGCTTGGAGGTGGTCATAATACCCAACCCACTAACCAAATTCAGGACCATCCTGAGAGCTGCCCCAGCCCCAGAGCTCCTGGGCATCAGCTCAGGCCTCTCAGGCTGTGCCTGAGCTGTGCTTCTCCTTTGTCCAGCCTGCTTTTCTCCCTTTCTATCTCAGTGTCTGCTTCCTCCTTTACCCAATGAGTCCCACCCACCAGTTTAATAATAATTTCATAGCACCACCTCCTTCCCAGATCATTGCTTAATTTGTTCATTTACATGTTTCCTGTCTGTCGCCGTTTAGAACGTAAGCTGGTGAGGTCAGGGACCTTGACTGTCTAGGCTCCAATCCCAGAAGAGTGCCCAGACAATAAATATTTGCCAAATTAAAACTTAGCTTGTAAGCTGGGTGCAGTGACTCACGCCTGTAATCCCAACACTTTGGGAGGCCAAGGCTGGCAGATCACTTGAGTTCAAGAGTTCAAGACCAGCCTGGCTAACACTGAAACCCTGTCTCTAGTAAAAATACGAAAAAAAAAAGAAAAAAAAATAGCTGGGTGTGGTGGCAGGCACCTGTGATCCCAGCTACTCGGGAGGCTGAGACACAAGAATCGATTGAACCCAGGAGGTGGAGGTTGCAGTGAGCCAAGATTGCACCACTACACTTCAGCCTGGGTGACAGAGTGAGACTCCGTCTCAAAAAAAAATAAATAAAACACAAACAAACAAAAACTTAGCTTGTAAACAGTTTAGAGATAGACACATAAACAGATCTCTTTAATAAAATAATATAGGGAAGAAAGCTATCAGGGCACACAGACCCGGAGGAGGAGGCTTCCTGGAAGAGATGATACCAGTCAAGAATTGAAGAATGGGCAGATATGAGCGAGGCAAGGAGGAGCAAGAGGAGGCATCCTAGGCCCCAGGACTGCATGAGCAAAGGCACCGGTGTGCACGACCCAGTGTGTGGAGGCAGCCCCTGCTGCTGGTGTTCCAGGCACCACACACAGGAGCCTCAGCTGAAGCAGTGGGTAGGATGCAGAATGTGGGTCCCCGAACCGCAGGTTTGGGGCTTGGACTTGATCCTGTGAGGCAGGGAGATATTCTATGGTGAGAAGCAGGAAAATCATTCATCAGATCTGCCCTGGACTCAGAGCACGCCGGCGCCTCCAAAGATGGAGTTGTAGGAGTCATACGGTTCGTGACTGTAAGAAAGTTTCTCCCTGTCGGGCTATTTCTTGGAAATATTGTGATGTACTATAAATGAAAGCACTAATTTTTTACCTCCAAATTTTTAACTTATAAATAGAAAAGCTGAGACTTGAAGCTTATTAGCGATGGCCTAAACTGTTTAAAAGTGCACCACTATAACTGAAACAAGACATAGGCTCTATGACCAAGGATGTTACCTGGTTCTCACCAAGGTTCATGGCCTGTTACGTACTCAGTTGTGTTTCAGGAATGCCCTTCTTCCCTCAGAGAAGCTGAATGATAATGCGAGGAATTTCCATTTTAAGCACAGGCTAAACCCTGGTACTTTGTCCTATAATCCCCTCCAGTCTCCAGAAATGTCTTCACTTCCATCTCAAGCAGATGAGATTCTGGCTCCATTCCCTGACTGAGCGTGTGGTGCTCCTTAAATTTGCCTTCAGGTTGTTCAGGGACTTCCACGCTCTCATTAAATCTAATGGAAGAATTGCTGGCCGGAGCCACGATGTCGAGTGCCTGGCATAGGCTGAGCTTTTCATGGTTTGAGTGTCCATCTGCAGACAGAACTCACTACAAAGGAAGCCACATTCCCTTCATGTCTATATCCACAAATCTGCATGAAGTTTCAGTGGTTTCCTGTATGCATTTACTTTTAAGCTGGCAAAGCATTTAGAATTGTGGTCCTCCATGCTCCTTCATGGCCTGGGGTCTAGCTATATGGCCTTGTGTTTACTAAGCACTAGGGAGGAAAGAAAGTTAATCACGTGAATATCCTCTCTTCCCATTTCCATTCTTACTGTACCAGGCCATTGTAATTCTAGCTTCTGTAACAAGACATTATTTACAATGCGAGTATCCCAGATTCATTAAATGCTTGGTATTAATTTTTGGCATTCCATCTCAGTGTAGAACAAACAACATGCTTCTTCTATTCTCTCATTCAATAACAACAGTTAGCACAGAAGATTTCTGTGACGGAATGTGTGGGGGTTTTTCCCCATGCACCAAGCAAGCAATCAGTTCTGCAGTGCACCCCGGGGGAGTGTCCTGCTCTTCAACCCTGGCGCTGTCTACCAGGAAATAGTGTCTGATCCCTCAGGCTGGGGGCTCAGTCCCACAGGACTGCCAGACACCGGTCGCAAGTCTGGGCTTCCGGACCTTCTGATCAACCGACTTCAAATTGGGATTCCCATGACTCCTTCTTTGGGTTCTGTTATTTGCTACAGTGGCTCACAGAACCCAGGGAAACACATTTACCAGTTTATTATAAAGGACATTACAAAAGATACAGATAAAGAGATGCAGAGGGCGAGGTATGGGGGAAGGGTGGCGGAGCTTCCAAGCCTTCCCTGGGTGCCCTGCCCACCAGAAACCTCCTTGTGTTCAGCAACCTCCATGTGTTCAACAAACCCTGTCCTCTGGGGCCCTCTATGGAGACTTCCTGGAATAGGCATGGACAGACGTGTTGAAATGCGATGGGACAGAAAGGCTTTGATCTCAGGGTAATAGATGGAGTAGGGAAACCCTGCGAGGCCTGCCAGTCTAGATTCTTCTTGGCCTCTCTGTGCAGCATTCCTTCCTCCAGGGATGGACAGGACTCTTTCTGAAATCCGGGTCTTATAACCCACAGTCAGAACAGCAGCGGAAGGTTCCAGTCCTGCCCTGGGCTGGTAAAAGGAGGTCAAGGAAAGGTCAGAGGGAGAGATTCTCTTTTCTGGGGCCTGTTTCTGAGGCCTGAATTGCCCCAACATTATAACAAAAGGCCGTAACAAGAGCTATGGGAGTTACGAGTTAGGGACTGTGTATGAAAAACACATCTATCAGCCAGGCGTGGTGGCTCATGCCTGTAATCCCAGCACTTTGGGAGGCCAAGGTGGGCAGATCACGAGGTCAGGAGTTTGAGACCAGCCTGGTCAACATGGTGAAACCCTGTCTCTACTAAAAATATAAAAAGTATCCAGGCATGGTGGCAGGTGCCTGTAATTCCAACTACTCGGGAGGCTGAGGAAGGAGAATCGCTTGAACCCGGGAGGCGGAGGTGGCAGTGAGCCCAGATTGTGTCCCGTACTCCAGTCTGGGCGACAGAGTGAGACTCCGTCTCAAAAAAATATAAATAAATACACAGACACACACACACACACACACACACTCTCTCTTCATATATATTTATGTTTATATATGCTTATTTATATTAAATATCACAATAGGAAACTTTGTTACCTTTTCATTTAGAATTGCTTTAACAGTTCATTAAGTTTTAATGTATTACTCAATAATTTTGATTGAATATATTTTACGATACATGGTATAATAATGATATATTTATGATATGATAAAATATTATATTTTAGAGAAACTTAAGTGGTTTTATAATGTCACACCATGTAACATATTATTTACATCATAAATATACAACCATTCAATGTGTGCTGAAAATGGCACAAACCTAAGCGGAAAGTATGAAGGTAAAAGTGTTGTAAGTTTTCTCCTTTATTTTCCACACATCTGTAATTTATGATCTTTAAAGCAAGCCAGAAAGAATTAGGAAAACAGGGGATTTTACATGTAGGCAAGTTATCTTAAAATAAATACCTATTCTTATATATTCATAAATATTTTAAATTAGTGTAAGTTCTCGTGCCAGGTTTCTAATAATAAAAGTGAGATAGCACCAAAGCAATTACTTGGAAAATCTTGCAGGAAAAATCAATTAACAAGATAATTGGTAAGAGTGAGTAATGGAGCACCTTCAACACTAGGGAGGATTCAAGTCAAGAAACTGCATTTGCTGGGGTTATCCAGGAAATTCGGACAGAAGCAGTTCTCTGTACATCCTCATAAAATCACTTCCTCCTCCCTTCAGTTCCCCGACGGTGACTGAAGCAGGGGTGTCTGCGCTCCAGAAACTCATAGAGTCTGTGTTTGACAACTGAGGGAGGTGAATAATTCCAAAATAAGTCCCAAGATAAGGGACTTTTCCTCTCATGCTGAAAAGAACCCGTTCTGTGAAAGAAGGGACATTGGAATCACACAGTCCTTGGTGAAATCATTGTCTTCACCATTTCAAAGTGCTTCACCTTGGGGAAATTCTATAGCAGAATGATGCTCTTATCTCAAAGTGCTTTGGTAAGCGAATGAGATAATAGACATAGAATACCTAGCGTTGTTGGTAACTTCCTTTCTGTCCCTCTCATCTTAATTAAAATTTTGCATAGCATTAAGGAACATATTCCCTATTAAAAATAATATGCCAGCTGGGTGAGGTGGCCCACGCCTGTAATCCCAGTACTTTGGGAGGCCGAGGCGGGAGGATCACCTGAGGTCAAGAGTTCGAGACCAGCCTGGCCAACATGGCGAAATGCTGTTTCTACTAAAAATACAAAAATTAGCTGGGCGTGGTGGTGGGCACCTGTAATCCTAGCTACTCAAGAGGCTGAGGCCAGAGAATCACTTGAACCTGGGAGGTGGAGGTTGCAGTGAGCCAAGATCATGCCACTGCACTCCGGTCTGGAGGACAAGACTGCAAAACTTGTCTCAAAAAAAAAAAAGAAAGAAAGAATAATAATTATAATATGCTATCCCAGTTCCTGTTTTATGAATTTGGCCAAACCAAGTAAGTAGCACTATGGAAAGAGCAAAAATAAATCAAAATACATTTAAATTATTATATCAAATTTTATTAATTAATATATTTAAATATAAATATATTATTTTTAATATATTCACATATAAATATATTGATATTTTAAATATCAATATATTTATATTTAAATATATTTAAATATAAATATATTGTTTAAATATAATTAAATATAAATATATTAATGTTTTAAATATATTAATATTTAAATATATTTAAATGAGTAATCGACCCCTATCTGTGAAACTTGAAGCGTTTGTCTCTAAATCCCGTTTCAGGAGAATAAAGTCAGATTTACAAATAAAATGTGTTACCAACAAAAGTGACATGCTTCAATTTCATTCATTTCTTAATGAATATCATCACTTTAGAGCTGCCTGCCCTATTGTGCTTTCTGATTTTTTTCCCTCAGTTCAGTTTCTCTCTGTCCTTGTATTGCTTGTTATTATTCACTTAGAAAGTGATGTCTAGGCTAGCGTGTTGGCTTGGGAATACGTATTTTCCAGGTATTTGCTGCGAACCCACCACACCTTTGTTTTCTCCCCACAACAGGAGGCTGCATGCACATGAAGTGTCCGCAGCCCCAGTGCAGGCTCGAGTGGTGCTGGAACTGTGGCTGCGAGTGGAACCGCGTCTGCATGGGGGACCACTGGTTCGACGTGTAGCCAGGGCAACCAGGCGTCCCATCGCCCCATCCTGGGGGAGCATACACAGTGTCCTACCTTCATTTGCTAATTCTCTTTTCAAACACACACACACACGCGCGCGCGCACACACACACACACACACACACACTCTTCAAGTTTTTTTCCAAGTCCAACTACAGCCAAATTACAGAAGAACCTCCTGGATCCCTTTCACTATGTCCGTGAAAAACAGCAGAGTAAAATTACAGAAGAAGCTCCTGAATCCCTTTCAGTTTGTCCACACAAAACAGCAGAGCCGTCTGTGACACCAGCAAGAGGTGCTCTCAGCCTCAGGATGACACAAATTCCGGAGCACAGATTCAAGTGCAATCCATGTATGGGTCATTCTCACCTGAATCCAAGTCAGGCAGAATGAGTAGCTGGAGAGAGAGTTCTCGCGTTTAATATCCTGCATTTTACCTTCAGTAAACACCGTGAAGATGCCATTGACAAGGTGTTTCTCTGTAAAATGAACTGCAGTGGGTTCTCAACTAGATTCATGGCTTTAACAGTAATGTTCTTATTTAAATTTTCAGAAAGCATCTATTCCCAAGGAACCACAGGCAATAGTCAAAAAAATGTGTTTATCCTTAAGAATTCCATCTCTATAAATTGCATTAATGAAATGCCAACTATGCATAAATCAACTTGTCAACTAAGTGAGAAATTATGAAAGTTAATTTGAATGTTGAATGTTTGAATTACAGGGAAGAAATCAAGTTAATGTACTTTCCTTCCATTTCATGATTTGCAACTTTAGAAAGAAATCGTTTTTCTGAAAGTATTACCAAAAAATCTATAGTTTGATTTTGAGTATTTATTTTGCAGCTTGGAGGTTTTGCGAATACATTTGACTCCTCTGTAAATTTAATGGATAATGTGCCTATAAAGGAGACATGTTTAGAAATGATTTCAAAATGATATTCAATCTGAACAAAAGTGAACATTATTAAACCAGAATCTTTAAAGAGGAGCCTTTCCAGAACTACTGAAATGAAGGCGCACCGGACTGTCTCCATCAGAAGGGTTTATGACCCTTTGGCACACCCTCTCTGTCCAATCTGCAAGTCCCAGGGAGCTCTGCACACCCAGGGGTTCCCCAGGAGAGACCTTCTCTTAGGACAGTAAACTCACTAGAATATTCCTTATGTTGACATGGACTGGATTTCAGTTCGATCCAACTTTCAGCTTTTTGTTCAGCCATTCACAGCACAATCAAAAGATTAACAACACGACATGCGGCAAACCTCATGTTCTTACGCACACTACGCAGAAGAGAAAGCACAACCACTATCTTTTGTTCTACTTGTGTTGTCTGACTTCTCAGGAAGATCGTGAATATATCTGAAGGCATGAGTATCACTAGCGCATGGAGGCCCTTCTGGATTTAGAGACTCTGTAAATTATGAAATCGGCAAGAGGGCCTCTGTTTTTAGATGTAGCACCTGAAATCCTTGCTGGAGGAAAGAGAGGGGATGAACTCAAATTTTCCACATCCCGGGACACCTGTCCCTCTTTTCCTAACTGCCTGAGATAATCCATTTCTTCCAGCCACCCAGGACAGTCCTGTCCTCTCAGACGCCCTGCACTGAGGACAGACTGGGCTCTGCGGCAGCCACATCAGCATCCACAGCTTCATGTGGCTTCGCTGTCTGAAGATCTGCCGACTCCAGCACGGCCCCACGGTGACAACAGACCTGCGACAGGAAGCCCAAAGCTCACATCGAAATGGTAGAGAGATCAAAGTCTCTATAGTAAGGGAAAAAAAGAGAGGTCGCAGGCATGAGCCCCGGCAACCAGTGGCTTGTGTCCACACGGAATCCAGACCCTGATCGGGGTCTGACTTAGTGTCGCTGGCAATCCCACTAAATTGCAGTTCCTTACACTGGCCCGATGTGACAAATCAGGTGGCTCCCTTCTGTCACAGGGACCCCACAGAGTTTCCCATCATCCATAGCTTTCTTCCTGATGAGGTTTGCATGATTGCGCCTTCCCAGCCTGCATGCTGCATTGGGCTTGCAGTGCCTGAGCAAGGTTTGCTCGCACAAGCTCAGGCACCCTAGGAACCCCTGTTAGACTATTAGGCTGTCCAGCTTGGTCTCCTTTCCTTTCTTGGTGGTGGTCTTTTCCCTTTCCAGAATAGAACAGTGATTCTTAAAATAAGTTCGAGCAGGCTGGGCACGGTGGCTCATGCCTGTAATCCCAGCACTTTGGGAGGCTGAGGTGGGTGGATCACGAGGTCAGGAGTTCAAGACCAGCCTGGCCAAGACAGCGAAACCCCATCTCTACTAAAAATACAAAGTGAGCTGGGCGCGGTGGCAGGCGCCTGTAATCCCAGCTTCTCGGGAGGCTGAGGCAGGAGAATCACTTGAACCCGGGGGGCAGAGGTTGCAGTGAGCCGAGATCACACCACTGAACTCCAGCCTGGGCAACAGAGTGAGACTCTGTCTCAAAAAAAGCAAAATCAGCATCCGCTACACATGAAAACGAATCACAGTATTATTTGCACAGGAAGGGTGTAACAAAATATGAATGTATCACAAAATAGAAATAAAGTCTTTGCAGAAAAAATCTATTTTCTGTGACATGTGTTGAGATTATCTGACAACTCTAAGATTGTACTAAATTGTCAATAAAAGCATCAAAAGAGCTTCTGAGTCCTGTCTTTGAAGATACATTTTCAATCGATGTGAAGGGTGAGGGAGGGAATCACAGGCTGTGTTACTCCATGGACCTCACTTGTGGCCTGGAGGAATTGCCTGGTGATGAAATGGCCATTTTCATATCAACTCCAAGCTCCAGATTAACCCTGGCTGTTTCTGTTTGTTAAATAAGAGCAGTTTGTTAAGGCTATCAAAATTTGAAAGAGTTCCAAAAAGCAAACCCTCATTCAAAACAATCTAAAAGTTACTTTCTTGCCTTACTAGCAAACTTTTCTAATAAGTGTTTAAAAGAGAAGTTTGCGTTGGAAAAGACTATGTATAAGGATTATTTTCTCTCATGTCATTCTAGAAAATTTCAGTGACTTTGCATTGCTGTCAATGTGGGTGTGTTGACGCTGCATTTTCAAAGAACTGCTTTAGTGGCCACGCATTGTTTATTTCACAATGAGCCCATGGTGGAGGCATCTGGAATGGAACATTCCGAGAGAGGGCCTGTACATACATTAGGCAAAGAGGCACACACTGAAGTCCCCTGGGTGCCAGGAGCCACAGGAAACACTCCGAGGAAATGCAAAGGTCATGGGAATGGTGGCCCAGGTGATGACAGAGCAAGAGGCAGCCGAGAAAGTGGGTGAGCTCCAGGCGCCAGGGTGGGAACCCCACCTCCAAAACTCACCTGTGTAAGAACTTTGGGGACAATAATAGCATGCACCACATTAAGTTGTTGTGACAATTAACAAATTTACCTAAAGCACTTAGAACAGTGCGTAGGATAAAGGAAGCACTGCATAATTGTTCGCTATTATTAAAAAATGAACCAGTCATTGGAAACTACAGAATAAAATGACAGAAAACACAAAACTAATGCAAAGTGATGACAAGTGCCAGGAATATCTATCTGAGTACACAGTTGTATATTTAGGGATTCATGCTGGAGGCGGGTGACTCATGTTGCATATACATGTATTGCATTATCTTCTAGACAGTCCCAGAAGTGTCCTATAAAGGTAAGTTGCTATGCTAGCACCAATTTCCATAACAGGCTGGCCGCAGTGGCTCATGCCTGTAGTCCTAGCACTTTGGGAGGCCAAGGCAGGCGCCTCGCCTGAGGTCAGGAGTTTGAGACCAGCCTGACCAACATGGTGAAACCCCATCTCTACTAAAAATTCAAAAATTAACCAGGTGTGGTGGTGCCCACCTGTAACCTCAGCTACTCGGGAGGCTGAGGCAGGTGGGAGAATCGCTTGAATCCCGGAGATGGAGGTTGCAGTGAGCCGAGATCATGCCACTGCACTCCAGCCTGGGCAACAAAGTGAGACTGTGTCGACAACAACAACAACAACAAATTCCATTACAAAGGTAAGTCTAGCACAGACTGGAAACCATTGCTTTCAGATCAGGGTAATCTTATCTCAGAGTCCCTGAGATACCTGGTCAAAGGAATCTGCCCTGGAGCTCCTCCCCCAGCTCTCCGGTGCCTCAGGTCATCTCGACTGAAAGCTGGGTGTTCCTGAAAACTCCCACTGCATGTGCAGAATGAAACTCTAGTGTGTTTCTGTGTGTAGTTTGTTTCATCCACAATTCTTGGATTTTTAATTTGAAACTCAAAGAGTCTTTTTTGAGAGATGCTGTTTAGCATCAAATCACCACTCAGTATTTCTCCCTGTAAGGTTTTCTTGATGTTGTTTTTTTGTTTGTTTGTTTGTTTTTTGTTTTTTTGAGATGGTGTCTTTGTCACTCAGGCTGGAGCACAGTGGCGCGATCTCTGCTCACTACAACCTCCGCCTCCCGGGTTCAAGCAATTCTCCTGTCTCAGCCTCCCAAGCAGCTGGGACTACAGGCGTGCACCACCACGCCCAGCTAATTTTGGTATTTTTAGTAGAGATGGAGTTTCACAGTGTTGGCCAAGATGGTCTCGATTTCTTGACCTCGTGATCCACCCGCCTCAGCCTCCCAAAGTGCTGGGATTACAAGCGTGAGCCACCGCACCCAGCCTGTATTTTTTCTCATTACAAAATTATTATTACATGGTTACATGTCCACTACAGAAAGTAAAAAAGGCAAAAAGGAAAACATAAAAACTACCATCTAGAAACAATTTTGCATCTTATTTCCACTTAAAAATATATGATGAGCATCTTTCCATGTCAGTAGATTTCTAAAATGACATTTTTCCAGGAATTCATTATGACCTACTGTATGCTAATTAATAAATATTTCTTTTACATTTCCATATGTAATTTAAAAGTCCAGGCCATGACAGTGGCTCATGCCTATAATCCCAACACTTTAAGAGGCTGAAGTGAGTGGATCACTTGAGATCAGGAGTTTGAGACCAGCCTAGGCAACATGGTAAAACCGCATCTTTACAAAAAATACAAAAGTTAGCTGGGCGTGGTGGTAGGTGCCTATAATCCCAGCTACTCGGGATGCTGAGGCAGGAGAATTGCTTGAACCCAGGAAGTGGAGATTGCAGTAAGCCAAGATTGTACCACTGGACTCCAGTCTGGGCAACAGAGGAAGACTCCGTTTCAAAAAAATAAAATCAGGATAGTTACGGGCAAAGGGGAGTGGGTTGGTCACCTTGTCTGTGAGTAGCAGGTCGCAAGAAGCAACATGCACTCACAGGCCCCCTTGTAGGCTCAGCAGCCTTTGGCTCAGGTTGTTTACTTAACAAGCTCCTACTCATCTCTGAAATTTACCCCTATCCTCCCTCAAGCCAAACTAATTAAGAGGCTGACACTTCCCACACGGATGCCTCCCAAAGAAGCTTATCCCACTAAAAACAGGATCAACTGAAGCCTGGCAAGGCTTACCTGCCACGTGGTATTTGAGAATCTCTCAATTCTGAAACAGCTCTCTTTTAGCACCTGGCTTTATCTTCAGGACCATTTTTCACAAAGGCATTTAGATGTCATGATTTCACTGGAGTTCCGGGTACCCATCACTGAATCTCCATTTTCTCCAGCTGATTTTCCAGGAATGAGCTCCCCGTGGGTCTCTAGGCTTGGCATGCTCTTCCCACACATCGGTCGGCTTCCTCCCTTCCTGAAGGCCTCTCAGGTCAACCCATCACATCCATAGTGCTCACCTGTATCTAGACATATTATATATTTTACTTATGTATTAGGTTTTTGCTGGTCTCCCCAGCTAGAGTGCTAACTAACTCCATGAGGGCAGTTCCTTGCTGTATTTGTTGATTTCATGGATGAGTAGAGGCCAATCATCAATAATCATCAGTTAAGGGGCTCACTCCATCCCCCTTCATTGCCCACCCACCTTGGATCTGTGCAAAACAATTTGAAACTGTGGGATTGTAGAACCACACGTGCCAAGTACCACCAAAGAAACTATCAGTTAGAAAAACTGCCATCGTTCCTTTTCATTTGGGTGTAACTGAAAAGTCATTATCATTTGTTTTTCTTTTCTTGCCTTTCCTGCTTATTTATTGTTCTAGGTGAAGTTTTTTTAGTCACCAGGCTTTTTCGTTCATTTTATCTTGGTAGCCCAAACAATGTTAGTTAAAATGGGTCTCCTAGTTGGTTTAGCAAATACTAGCTACCTCTTCTCTGAAGAATGCGATGCAACACCTCCCACCAGTTGTTTTTTTTTTTTTTTTTTTTTGTCTTTGAAAGTAGTTGACAACCCCTAGGGCAGCATAATTTCAACAATAACAGAAACATAAGTGCAAAAACACTTTTCAGTTTCGAGTGTTTGCAGGAACTCTAAGCACCAGGAATAAGGTACAAGATGGGAATCAGAGAACCCACGATAGAATTCAGAGACACACACAGTGATCACATCCTTGTAAGTAAGTAACTCTGAACATAGCTCATTTCCACGGTGGGTCACCAAACACCAAGAAGCAGCTGGAAGCATGCCTGGCAGTTGATAACTGATAGTGGCCTATCAACAGCATCGTCCAATCATGTCAGAGGACGCTGGCCTCCTCATTCAACCCCTTAGGAGAGTCGTGATTGCTTATCAGGTTCATGTGAAAGAGTGAATGACAAGGTGACAGCAACAAGGTCCTATGGTTCCCAGACCTGCGTCACAGGTACCGCAAAACTTTTATTTGAATTGGCTCACGCATGCGTGTTTATTCCTGTCCCTGATGGTGACACTGATAGGGAAAAAAGTATTACGGAAATGGCAGTTGCAAAGTTGGCCATGCCGTGGTCATGCAAGGGAACCATGCTGGTCTGAAAATTCTTTCGTAATAACATTATGAAATCAGAGAATCCCAGAACTCAAGTGTGTTCATGAAGATTGGAAACCGTAGTCCGTTCCAGGGGCCAGCAAATGCTCCTGTACAAACCGGATAGTAGATAATTTAGGCTTTGCAGGCCATAAGTCTCTACTTACGTGATAAATGGATGTGACCAAGGAGTAAGAGAGGAATCTGGGATACATCTTAAGTTCTTCCTGGATGGCTGTGGGCCTGGAGTCCTGTGAGCCAGGCTGCAGAGCACAGGAGCAGAGCCAGAGCCAAGTTTGCATGTGAGAATCGGGGATGGTGGGAAAAAGGTGGCTCTATTTGCACCTGCTGGAATCTGACAGTCTGTGAGACCGCCAATGGTCAGGTTCAGTAAACACTTGAATCTTAGAAGTCCTAGAAATACTTTTTATGGAGCTCTTTGTGTTACCAATGAATCATTTTTAATAAATAGATTCTTCAAAATAATAATTTTAGATGATAGCTTAAAATTGTAAAGAAACGACTCAAGAGAATTTGTAATGTCAACCTACTTGTACAAGATTAGAAGTACATCTCTAATTGCTTATTTTAGAATAAATATTTTCCTTCCAAATTAATAATCTGATCAGAGGTGAACACATAATTTCAGTGATAAGAACAGAAGCCACGGCTAAAGGACAGCTGGTAAACATGGATTCCCAGGGAATCAATCCAAAGAAATAAGTAACAGCAAACCAACCAACCCTGGAGAAATTATATTTATAGTACATAAGGGAAAAAAAAAATTAG